GTGTGGGACCTCGGCAAAGACCTGTTTTCCCTAGGTGTTTCCAGCATGTTTTCCCTAGGTGTTTTCAGCATGTTTTCCCTAGGTATTTTCAGCATGTTTTCCCTAGATGTTTCCAGCATGTTTTCCCTAGGTGTTTTCAGCATGTTTCCCCTAAATCATTTGCATTCATGTGAAGCTTGTTTTTAAGAGTGCGTGCAATAGACTTTGCCATGTGTTTGTAGGACTTGGACCTTTGCCTTGATCCCGATGTCCCAAGAACTAGGTGAGTGGTATTTTTAATAAAGTTATGTTATAAAGTTTTGACAAAGCCTTGCTTCATTTTGGAAAAGTATTTGATTGAATATGAATGATTATCCCTAGTTTTGTATCTAGTATTATCTTGTTTTGATGACATTCTGGGAAAGTCCTTAATGCCAGGGGACTATAATGCAACTGCACCCTTGTTTTGAAAGTCCTTAGTGCTAGGGGACTATAATGCAACTGCACCCTTATTTTGCCACTAACGGTTTTCCGCGTGGGTTTGTTTGTCTAGAATGTCATCGCTTGGTATTATGTAGATGTTATTAACATCCAAGAAGTTTTGAAAGATTTGATAGATAAACTTGGTTCATCCCTTTGATTTGTAAAGTTATGATATGTATTGTTTTGGAAAAGATCTCGGATATCATTCATTCAAACCTTTATTACTTATACCATTCACTGAGTATCCAAGCTCACCCTCTCCTTATATATATGTAGGTGATGAGCAAGAAAGCGGCGACGCCTAGATGATTATTTGCAACTTGTTTTGGATTCGTATTTTTGTAGCATCTGGAAGATCATGCTTCTTGGCTTGTAGTTTACTTCTTTTTGTTTATGTCGGCTTGAGAAGCCTTTTGATCAAGATGTATTATGTACTTATTTTATTTGTATTTAAGTTGTAAGACCTTGATAAGATGTATGTCATTTCATTTAATCTATGTACAGCTCTTATGGACTAATTAGATTTAAATTTATTGCTTCCGCACATGTAGGCCCATATATACTCTGATTGTGTGTGAATCTTTGTAAGTTGGCCTTTGGTAATCTCGGATTGCTGGCCATCACGGCACCATTCTACTAGGGGCGGAATGGGGTCGTGACAGTCAATCTGCAATAGGCATGGCATAGAATGGTAAGTCACGACATATTCGTCGTCGACATAATACCGTAAGGCAATTGCTCTCACATGGAATAATCTCAATAGATTATATAAAATCTAAAGAGAATATTGCAGATCCGTTAACAACAAGTTTGACAAAAGAACAAGTGTATAGTTCATCAAAGGGAATGGGATTAAAGCATATTACATAAGAGTCATCATAATGGTAACCCTACGTATATGACTGGAGATCCCAAGCACTAAGTTCAAAGGGACAACTAAGTTATGTGTGGCTCGCCAAAAATCACCAAGGGATTAAAATTCCTTACCCATTCCTACGGTGAGAGTGATATCTGCAACATATGTTGTTTGTAGGGGTTTAAGGATAAGTTTCGCTTTTAATGATTACTTATATCTTGATTTAGGCATAAAATCAAGACGAATATAAGAGATACTCACAATAAGAATCACTTATATGAGTGTTGAACTAGAGCCGGTTCTATGAGAATAAAGGGGCTAAATTCTCTAGAAACACTCATGAACAACCAAGAGCGTTCAAGGCCAAAATGAACACAACTGTGAGAACCATAATGTGTCAGAATATATTTTGTGTGAAATTTATTGTCTTGGCTTACACAAACGGCTGAACAATTCAAGGCATCGCGTCCATTGGTTAGCTAGTAACTCCGATAGGTTATCATTAGGGAAGGTTCAAGACCGAAAGCTACCTATCATAATGCAAAATATTTTCGATTTATACTCTTTTGACAAATTCTGCATATTGTTGTATTTTCGTTGTCATCAAATTCCATTCATGTGGGGGAATTGTAAGAAATGATTTTGGTAAAAAAACAAATTTTTTTCCAAACTTTAGTCAAATTTTTATGTGGGACCCATACGCCAAAGTTAGCGGGTCTAAGTAATAACACATTCTATGTCACATTGTGATTTACTTACTAGAGCCGGTTCTATGAGAATAAAGGGGCTAAATTCTCTAGAAGCACTCATGAACAACCAAGAGCGTTCAAGGCCAAAATGAACACAACTGTGAGAACCACGATGTGTCAGAAGATATTTTGTGTGAAATTTGTTGTCTTGGCTTACACAAACGGCTGAACAATTCAAGGTATCGCGTCCATTGGTTAGCTAGTAACTCCAATAGGTTATCATTAGGGAAGGTTCAAGACCGAAAGCTACCTATCATAATGCAAAATATTTTCGATTTATACTCTTTTGACAAATTCTGCATATTGTTGTATTTTCGTTGTCATCAAATTCCATTCATGTGGGGGATTGTTAGAAATGGGTTTTGGAAGTTTTGGAAAAACAGAATTTTTTCTCAATTTTGGTCTAATTTTTAGGTGGGACCCAAGCGCCGAATTTTGAGGGTCAAAGTGGTAACGTGTTCTATGCCGTATTGTGATTTATGTGGTATATTTGATTACTCAAAACCATTATCGGGTGAATGAAAAATTGAAGCCAAAGTAAGCTCCATGGAAATGGAGTTTTTGGTAGAAATTCTTTAAGGTTTGAATAAAGGCTTATCCTAAATTGGTTTGATGGGAACTTTATGGGTTTATAAAGCTTGGGATTGTAACTTGGGGAGGGCCCCAAGGGGCACCCTAAGTTTGTAGAGGGAGAGGTTATGAGCAAATTGGGCTAGACTCATTAGATCAAAAAATAAACACACACGCGTGCGCCGCCGCTGCCGTTCGTTCGGCCTGTCAGGCGAGTTGGGCTGGGCTTGGGGGCGAGTGCGTGGTGTGAGGTTGGATTGAACTTGTCCAGCCTAATACCTTTTTTTTTGGGCAAAAAATATTTGAATTTAATTTTATTTTTTAGTAAAATAAAATCTGTCCAGAATTCGAAAATTAATTCTGAAAATCTGACCGTTTAAATTCAAATTTTGGTTCGAAAATTTGCACCTTTTTGTACAGATTTGAAATCTGTCCAGACACTCTCTTACCTGTTTAATTTAAATTCAAATAGATTTGTATCTGTTTAAATTTAAACCGAACAAGTACCATATCTGTTGGATTCAAACCAAATAGTCAACATTCTATCTATAAATAGACCGTCTCTCATTTGATTCTTTCACTCCAATTTTGTCCCTAACTCTGCCTGCTTTCTTTGCATTTTCTTGTATTATTTTATTTTTTCTATGATAAAGAGTGTAAACATAAAGTGTGTTTGTTGTGCAAACAATTTGTAGTGCTGCTATTGTTTGCTGTTGATCATTTTATCCTGGGAGATAGATGTCCACATTTTGAAAGCACCGTGAAGAGAACGAATCTGTTTTAACGACACAGTATTAAACATTGGACTTGACTAGAAAATTTGTTCAACAAATTAATTTGTACACAAATAGAATTTTTTTCATTAAATACAGTGATTGGCCAACAAACTCATCCTTGATTTTAGGTAGGGGTGCAACTCACATAGGTTCGGGCGGGTTGGGAGATTGTCCAAGCCCAGCTTAAGCTGTGCTGAGACCTGTCCAGATCCGAATTGTAACCCGAGATTGCCTACCCAAGTCCGACTCGAGTTAAACCCGAATTGACCGAGTTGCCCGAATTGTAAATTAATTTCACTTTTTTTTTTCAGTTGCATTATTAAATTATTAAAATTTGACTCTATTTACATTTTTTTTTATATAAAAAATTATTAATACCACCAAAACAAATAATTTATATAATGTAAGAGTGATGCCGTTATAATAGTCCTTATAATTTATGAGTAAAAATAAAATAAAAAAAAAGTAAGATTTTATGTTATTCGTATATATAATAATATATATTCAACATGATTTAATAATCTAAATTACTTTAATATCATGTAATGGCTAATAATTTATATGTATATTTAATATTTTTATATATCTATATATATATATATCGGGCCTCGGGTTGTTTGAAATTTTTGCCCAAGCCCGTCCAAATTTAATTCGGACTTCTGAATTTTTGCCCAAACCCATACCGAATTTGAAAATATCTTGTCCAAACCCTAAAAAAATTTTAGATTGTTTGACGTCTTTGCTCAAGCCCGTCCAAATTCAATTCGGACTTTTAAATTTTTATCTAAATTCATACCAAATTCAAAAATATCTTATTCAATCCTTAAAAAAATTCAAACTAAGTTTGAATTATTCGAGTTGAGCCTGTACAAATTGGAATCCTAATTTTAGGTATGTGGTGGATACATGATACATCATATAACTAGCTTACACGCGAAGTGCACTATTTTAATTAATTAATTTATAACTTCGGGGGTGGCGATGGTATTTCTTTTGAAAGTGGCTTGTCTTGGATCTTCGGATCGTCTTAGCCTTCGTTTGACATTGATTTTTTTAATTAATTTTTTTGAGTTAAGATCTTTTTTAGTTGAGGATTAAAAAGTTTATTTGGTTTGATTTTTTGATTTTTTTTATTTTTTTTAATTTTTTTAAAAGAAAAAATAAAATAATTATAGTTTAGATGTGACATATTATCTTATTGATTTATCTAACCTATTTTGTCTTTGGTACTTTTTTAACACAACTAAGTTAGCCAAACGAAGGCTTAGAGAGTTGGTTGGTGATTTAATTCGTTAATTTTATAATTTTTTGTGCATATATTATTTATAAAAAAAGTTAATTAGTTTAATAATTATAATTATATAATTTTATTATCATTGCTTATAAAAATTGACAATAAATTTGACTTTAAAAACTAAATCAATCATTTTTTAAAGACAAGTTTTTATCAAATGATGTAACAACAAATATTATATAGTTTAATTTTTTATTTTTATAAACAATCTACACGTAAAGGTCTAAAAAAATCAAATCATTAAAGTGGGATTGGAAGGTCGAATGTCCTTATAAATAGGAATGAACAATGTGAGACTTATTCCATACCAACCAACCATTCAACACAAAACTTTGTGTTTTTGTTTTTGGAAAACAAGTTTAAGTTGAAAATGTCCAAGCCAGTCTTAGTAGGACTAGCCCTTGGGCTCATCTTCATGAGCAGCTTCACAGGCCAGTGCTATGGTCAACTGGAAGTAGGATTCTACAAGGGAAAATGTGGTGGCAAAGACGTGGAAGCCATCGTCGGCAGTGTCATTGCCACCAAGATCAAGGACGACCCCAAGATCGTGGCGGCCCTCCTCCGCTTGCAATTTCATGATTGCTTCGTTAGAGTAAGAAGGCTTAGATCCCGTTAACTGCAACTTATTAAATTTTTTTTAAACAAAAAAATATGTAACAACATCGTGTTTATGATTATTTGTGCTTATAGGTTATGAGTTAAAAAAACTTAAATAAGGTCATTATAAAAAGTCAATTAATCCTCTCTATCTTTTTGCAAGTATTTTTGTAAAAAATCAAAAACCCACTAAAAAATCTTAATCCCTACACTACCCCTAATTATTGACCAATTAAGAGTAGTGCTTCAAACTTTAATTTTTTGATTAGCAACTTTTAATTCATAAAAATTTAGGCATCATGTTAAGTCACGGGTAATGCTAGGTTGTAACCATTGTTGGCACTTGAGCCAATTGACAAAGGTAAAAAATGTTTAGGAACACAAAAATTGAGCCAATTGACAAAGGTAAAAAATGTTTAGGAGCACAAAAATTGATCACGAAAATCATATGAACAGATAAAATTTTTAGAAGTGAGTTCTATTAACAAATTTTGTAAAATTTTATTCATTCTTGTATGTTTTGTGCTTTGTTATTTGTTTATAGTTTATATGTTTATAATTGAATTGTTTGCTATATGTATCAATTTTATAGCTTATATGTTTCATGCTTATCGGTACCAACTCAGTTAGGATCGAATTGTTTTATTATGGTACTCTTTGCACCTCCTCTCTTCATTTATGATTGTCAATGTATTATTGTTTGATCATTATCAATAATATTTCCTTTTGGCTGTTTCAAATAAATAAATAAATTTGTATCAATTGTAATTTTAGGAAAAAGAACACATGTGACCCTCCGGGCAAAGTGAAAAATTAACAATTTTATGTACTATTATGATGAACAAACTTCTAAAAAGAAAATCAATTGTAATACAAGATTCATCTCTTAACATGAAATTTTTTTCCATGAAATTCATTAAAAAAAAAAAAAAAAAAAAAAAACTTACTACCTAATGATTGGAATGACATAAGAAGAGCCTACATACTGAAAAACTCACAAAAGAAGAGCATTTAAAGAACTAAAGTTTTTGAATTACACCACTCACAAAAATTTCTATATTTGCCATTACTGTAAATGATATTAATCAATCAACTTCATATTCATTTGGTAAAATTTATTTTCAATTTAAAAAAGTTTAACTTAAAACAAAAATAAAAATATCAAAGTCAGCTCTTAAAAAAATTTAGCGTTTCAAGTTTATTCTTATTTTTTTGTGCTTAATAGTCATGAACTAACGATATAAAACATCAAAAAACATGTTGTTGTTGTTGTTTTGATTAAACTAGCTTTAAAATAATCCAATTATAAACTTTTTTGATTTTTTAAATTATATCAAGTTTACTTTTTATATCCCTCCTAATTAGACGATCGTAAAAATATTTATAAAAAAATGTAAATCAAGAAAAGAAAAAAATAAGCCCATTTTTGCAAGTTCGTTTTGATGAAATTTGCCTTTAGTAGATTTTTTTCCAAATAGCTTTAGCCAAATAATTCGTTTGGCTATCCCAGTTACGACTAAAAACATAAAAGGCAAATCATACTAAATAAGTTAATAAGATAAAATATTACATCCAAATCATAATCATTTCACTTTTTCTCTCACAAAAATAAAGAAAGTCAAAAAATTTTTGTTGAACAAGCTTTTTAGTCCCAAACTAAAAATATCTCAACTCCAAAAAGCTAACTAAAATTTTTTTTGCCAAACGACAATAAAGACTATGGCCTCATTTGGAAAGTGGCTATTTTAGTAGGCTATTTGACTTTTTGGCTATTTTAGTAGGCTATTTTAGTTTTTGTGTTTGGGAAGATGAGATGGATTTTATTTGAGTTATTGTATTAAAAAATGTGTTGAAATGATATATGAAATTAAAATGATAAATTTGTCCATAAAAATATATATTTTTAAATTGATGTCAAAGGGTAAACTCGTAATTTACTCATTCATGGAACAATTTGTGTTGCTGACAGTGTAGGTTGTGCCTACACTGCCGGCTGTGCAGTCTATTTTTTTATTTTTTTTTTGAAAAAGCTTTCAACAGTGGGCTTTTTGGCTAAATTTTCATTTTAGGCTATAATAGCCTCTTTAGCCACTTCCCAAACAGCGCCTATAAAACATCAAGTCTCCAATTTAATGGGTACGTTTTTTTTTGTTTTTTTTATTTTTGGGTTTAATGTGCTAACATTGTTCTTTGCATGAAAAGGGATGTGATGCATCAATCCTACTGGATGGTAGTAACAGTGAGAAAACTGCACCCATAAATCTACATTTGAGGGGTTTTGACATTATTGATGCTGCAAAGGCTGCTGTGGAGGCAGTGTGCCCTGGAGTAGTCTCTTGTGCTGATATCATTGTCATGGCTACCAGAGACTCAGTGGCTAAGGTGAGCACTCTATACCTTCATTTGCTTCACTGCAAAGAACTATACTATTATATATATACCTCCACTTGACTAGATAAAAATATTTTTTGAGTAATGACATGAATAGAATTATAGATTATAGTAGTTCCATTACATGAATAGACAAACACAAACAATGCAAAAATTATAGTTAACAATGATGGTAGTAGTCAGTGGCGGAGCCAAGAATTCAGTGAAGAGGGCACATATTAATGACAATATTGATTTTATTTTTTCCTCGTAATAAACAATAATGAGATATTATTAAATGTAACTATTAAGAGTTTATTTGGATAAATGTGAATTTTAAATTAAAGGATTTGAGATTAAATTTTATACAAATATTGTGGAGTAACTATTTTAGATGGATTGAAAAATTAAAAAAGAAAATAAATTGATATAGAAATTATATATTTTAGTAGAGAAATTTCATAAAACACACCGCAAAAAAATGTCTATCATATGTCGCAATTATGATCTTTGTGGTCTTTAGTTATAACACATTATAGTGTTAGATATAATTTAGTTATAACTTCTTGTGGTTATTATTTTGGTAATGACTATATATCAAGTAATAGTTAGTTATGACTCATTCTGATATTAATTATGACTTATTGTAATTTTTTTTTTTTAATTGAAGATGTGTTATTTGGTTATAATTTATATAGTAGTCATGTCAGTTATGAATGAAAATAATTTGGTTATGAAAAATTCATAATCATTTCACTTTTTCTTCCAACTATAAAAAAAAAAAAAAAACATTCTTCCCAAACACAAACTGTGTGTGTGTGTGTGTGTGTGTGTGTGTGTGTGTGTGTGTGTGTGTGTGTGTGTGTGTGTGTGTGTGTGTGTGTGTGTGTGTGTGTGTGTGTGTGTGTGTGTGTGTGTGTGTGTGTGTGTGTGTGTGTGTGTGTGTGTGTGTGTGTGTGTGTGTGTGTGTGTGTGTGTGTGTGTGTGTGTGTGTGTGTGTGTGTGTGTGTGTGTGTGTGTGTGTGTGTGTGTGTGTGTGTGTGTGTGTGTGTGTGTGTGTGTGTGTGTGTGTGTGTGTGTGTGTGTGTGTGTGTGTGTGTGTGTGTGTGTGTGTGTGTGTGTGTGTGTGTGTGTGTGTGTGTGTGTGTGTGTGTGTGTGTGTGTGTGTGTGTGTGTGTGTGTGTGTGTGTGTGTGTGTGTGTGTGTGTGTGTGTGTGTGTGTGTGTGTGTGTGTGTGTGTGTGTGTGTGTGTGTGTGTGTGTGTGTGTGTGTGTGTGTGTGTGTGTGTGTGTGTGTGTGTGTGTGTGTGTGTGTGTGTGTGTGTGTGTGTGTGTGTGTGTGTGTGTGTGTGTGTGTGTGTGTGTGTGTGTGTGTGTGTGTGTGTGTGTGTGTGTGTGTGTGTGTGTGTGTGTGTGTGTGTGTGTGTGTGTGTGTGTGTGTGTGTGTGTGTGTGTGTGTGTGTGTGTGTGTGTGTGTGTGTGTGTGTGTGTGTGTGTGTGTGTGTGTGTGTGTGTGTGTGTGTGTGTGTGTGTGTGTGTGTGTGTGTGTGTGTGTGTGTGTGTGTGTGTGTGTGTGTGTGTGTGTGTGTGTGTGTGTGTGTGTGTGTGTGTGTGTGTGTGTGTGTGTGTGTGTGTGTGTGTGTGTGTGTGTGTGTGTGTGTGTGTGTGTGTGTGTGTGTGTGTGTGTGTGTGTGTGTGTGTGTGTGTGTGTGTGTGTGTGTGTGTGTGTGTGTGTGTGTGTGTGTGTGTGTGTGTGTGTGTGTGTGTGTGTGTGTGTGTGTGTGTGTGTGTGTGTGTGTGTGTGTGTGTGTGTGTGTGTGTGTGTGTGTGTGTGTGTGTGTGTGTGTGTGTGTGTGTGTGTGTGTGTGTGTGTGTGTGTGTGTGTGTGTGTGTGTGTGTGTGTGTGTGTGTGTGTGTGTGTGTGTGTGTGTGTGTGTGTGTGTGTGTGTGTGTGTGTGTGTGTGTGTGTGTGTGTGTGTGTGTGTGTGTGTGTGTGTGTGTGTGTGTGTGTGTGTGTGTGTGTGTGTGTGTGTGTGTGTGTGTGTGTGTGTGTGTGTGTGTGTGTGTGTGTGTGTGTGTGTGTGTGTGTGTGTGTGTGTGTGTGTGTGTGTGTGTGTGTGTGTGTGTGTGTGTGTGTGTGTGTGTGTGTGTGTGTGTGTGTGTGTGTGTGTGTGTGTGTGTGTGTGTGTGTGTGTGTGTGTGTGTGTGTGTGTGTGTGTGTGTGTGTGTGTGTGTGTGTGTGTGTGTGTGTGTGTGTGTGTGTGTGTGTGTGTGTGTGTGTGTGTGTGTGTGTGTGTGTGTGTGTGTGTGTGTGTGTGTGTGTGTGTGTGTGTGTGTGTGTGTGTGTGTGTGTGTGTGTGTGTGTGTGTGTGTGTGTGTGTGTGTGTGTGTGTGTGTGTGTGTGTGTGTGTGTGTGTGTGTGTGTGTGTGTGTGTGTGTGTGTGTGTGTGTGTGTGTGTGTGTGTGTGTGTGTGTGTGTGTGTGTGTGTGTGTGTGTGTGTGTGTGTGTGTGTGTGTGTGTGTGTGTGTGTGTGTGTGTGTGTGTGTGTGTGTGTGTGTGTGTGTGTGTGTGTGTGTGTGTGTGTGTGTGTGTGTGTGTGTGTGTGTGTGTGTGTGTGTGTGTGTGTGTGTGTGTGTGTGTGTGTGTGTGTGTGTGTGTGTGTGTGTGTGTGTGTGTGTGTGTGTGTGTGTGTGTGTGTGTGTGTGTGTGTGTGTGTGTGTGTGTGTGTGTGTGTGTGTGTGTGTGTGTGTGTGTGTGTGTGTGTGTGTGTGTGTGTGTGTGTGTGTGTGTGTGTGTGTGTGTGTGTGTGTGTGTGTGTGTGTGTGTGTGTGTGTGTGTGTGTGTGTGTGTGTGTGTGTGTGTGTGTGTGTGTGTGTGTGTGTGTGTGTGTGTGTGTGTGTGTGTGTGTGTGTGTGTGTGTGTGTGTGTGTGTGTGTGTGTGTGTGTGTGTGTGTGTGTGTGTGTGTGTGTGTGTGTGTGTGTGTGTGTGTGTGTGTGTGTGTGTGTGTGTGTGTGTGTGTGTGTGTGTGTGTGTGTGTGTGTGTGTGTGTGTGTGTGTGTGTGTGTGTGTGTGTGTGTGTGTGTGTGTGTGTGTGTGTGTGTGTGTGTGTGTGTGTGTGTGTGTGTGTGTGTGTGTGTGTGTGTGTGTGTGTGTGTGTGTGTGTGTGTGTGTGTGTGTGTGTGTGTGTGTGTGTGTGTGTGTGTGTGTGTGTGTGTGTGTGTGTGTGTGTGTGTGTGTGTGTGTGTGTGTGTGTGTGTGTGTGTGTGTGTGTGTGTGTGTGTGTGTGTGTGTGTGTGTGTGTGTGTGTGTGTGTGTGTGTGTGTGTGTGTGTGTGTGTGTGTGTGTGTGTGTGTGTGTGTGTGTGTGTGTGTGTGTGTGTGTGTGTGTGTGTGTGTGTGTGTGTGTGTGTGTGTGTGTGTGTGTGTGTGTGTGTGTGTGTGTGTGTGTGTGTGTGTGTGTGTGTGTGTGTGTGTGTGTGTGTGTGTGTGTGTGTGTGTGTGTGTGTGTGTGTGTGTGTGTGTGTGTGTGTGTGTGTGTGTGTGTGTGTGTGTGTGTGTGTGTGTGTGTGTGTGTGTGTGTGTGTGTGTGTGTGTGTGTGTGTGTGTGTGTGTGTGTGTGTGTGTGTGTGTGTGTGTGTGTGTGTGTGTGTGTGTGTGTGTGTGTGTGTGTGTGTGTGTGTGTGTGTGTGTGTGTGTGTGTGTGTGTGTGTGTGTGTGTGTGTGTGTGTGTGTGTGTGTGTGTGTGTGTGTGTGTGTGTGTGTGTGTGTGTGTGTGTGTGTGTGTGTGTGTGTGTGTGTGTGTGTGTGTGTGTGTGTGTGTGTGTGTGTGTGTGTGTGTGTGTGTGTGTGTGTGTGTGTGTGTGTGTGTGTGTGTGTGTGTGTGTGTGTGTGTGTGTGTGTGTGTGTGTGTGTGTGTGTGTGTGTGTGTGTGTGTGTGTGTGTGTGTGTGTGTGTGTGTGTGTGTGTGTGTGTGTGTGTGTGTGTGTGTGTGTGTGTGTGTGTGTGTGTGTGTGTGTGTGTGTGTGTGTGTGTGTGTGTGTGTGTGTGTGTGTGTGTGTGTGTGTGTGTGTGTGTGTGTGTGTGTGTGTGTGTGTGTGTGTGTGTGTGTGTGTGTGTGTGTGTGTGTGTGTGTGTGTGTGTGTGTGTGTGTGTGTGTGTGTGTGTGTGTGTGTGTGTGTGTGTGTGTGTGTGTGTGTGTGTGTGTGTGTGTGTGTGTGTGTGTGTGTGTGTGTGTGTGTGTGTGTGTGTGTGTGTGTGTGTGTGTGTGTGTGTGTGTGTGTGTGTGTGTGTGTGTGTGTGTGTGTGTGTGTGTGTGTGTGTGTGTGTGTGTGTGTGTGTGTGTGTGTGTGTGTGTGTGTGTGTGTGTGTGTGTGTGTGTGTGTGTGTGTGTGTGTGTGTGTGTGTGTGTGTGTGTGTGTGTGTGTGTGTGTGTGTGTGTGTGTGTGTGTGTGTGTGTGTGTGTGTGTGTGTGTGTGTGTGTGTGTGTGTGTGTGTGTGTGTGTGTGTGTGTGTGTGTGTGTGTGTGTGTGTGTGTGTGTGTGTGTGTGTGTGTGTGTGTGTGTGTGTGTGTGTGTGTGTGTGTGTGTGTGTGTGTGTGTGTGTGTGTGTGTGTGTGTGTGTGTGTGTGTGTGTGTGTGTGTGTGTGTGTGTGTGTGTGTGTGTGTGTGTGTGTGTGTGTGTGTGTGTGTGTGTGTGTGTGTGTGTGTGTGTGTGTGTGTGTGTGTGTGTGTGTGTGTGTGTGTGTGTGTGTGTGTGTGTGTGTGTGTGTGTGTGTGTGTGTGTGTGTGTGTGTGTGTGTGTGTGTGTGTGTGTGTGTGTGTGTGTGTGTGTGTGTGTGTGTGTGTGTGTGTGTGTGTGTGTGTGTGTGTGTGTGTGTGTGTGTGTGTGTGTGTGTGTGTGTGTGTGTGTGTGTGTGTGTGTGTGTGTGTGTGTGTGTGTGTGTGTGTGTGTGTGTGTGTGTGTGTGTGTGTGTGTGTGTGTGTGTGTGTGTGTGTGTGTGTGTGTGTGTGTGTGTGTGTGTGTGTGTGTGTGTGTGTGTGTGTGTGTGTGTGTGTGTGTGTGTGTGTGTGTGTGTGTGTGTGTGTGTGTGTGTGTGTGTGTGTGTGTGTGTGTGTGTGTGTGTGTGTGTGTGTGTGTGTGTGTGTGTGTGTGTGTGTGTGTGTGTGTGTGTGTGTGTGTGTGTGTGTGTGTGTGTGTGTGTGTGTGTGTGTGTGTGTGTGTGTGTGTGTGTGTGTGTGTGTGTGTGTGTGTGTGTGTGTGTGTGTGTGTGTGTGTGTGTGTGTGTGTGTGTGTGTGTGTGTGTGTGTGTGTGTGTGTGTGTGTGTGTGTGTGTGTGTGTGTGTGTGTGTGTGTGTGTGTGTGTGTGTGTGTGTGTGTGTGTGTGTG